GGAACTCATATATAGGTAGTGTTCAGGGCAGATGGATGAGGCAGATGGATGATGTTATGTATGCTGCATAGATATACTTTACAGTTTTGAAGTCACAGCTTTAAATCACCTGTTACCAAAAATAGTTTCTGAAATTCAGTAGTAGTTATATCTCTACTGTGCAGTTTGTAATGCTGCAGAATGCTTGTTTCAGAACTGTTTTTCAATTCTTTACAGCTGCCTATCTTCACTGGGCAAATGGCCTGTAGATGTATTTCAACAGACAACAGCACTGCTCTGCACAGCTGCTCAATGCTTTATATGCTTCAGCATATAAAAGGCATCTATCTGTTTCTTTTTAACATTTCACCAAGAGCTGAATGTAGAAAGTCTGATGATATTGGTTTACCTTTTCAAGTTGTTTGTTCAAGAGCTAAGAAAAGTAGAGGAAGATGGAAGGATATTCTGACCTTATAGACATGCTAATAATCCACAGCAGGTAGTCATATAGAAGCACCTTGAGATTCCATTTTACATTATTACCTAAGTGTAAATAAAAAGAGGGCAGAAAAGGTAAGATTAAAGAAAGGTGTAAGATTCTGTCCTTCTTCCTCTTTATGTAGCTGCTATCATCAATTGCAATTCCTGTTTACCATCTTCAACTATGATCTGGAGGGTGCAAAAGACAACCAATAAGGAGGCAAGGCTGACATTCAGATGGACCTAGACAGGCTAAAGGATGGGCCAGCAGGAATCTCATGAAATTTAGTAAGGGTCAATGCACAGTTCTATACCTAGGAAGGAGGAATCTCAGCAACAATAAAAGCTGAGATGGATTGGCTGGGGAGCAGTTTTACAGAAAAAAAACTTGGGGGCACTGGTAGGGCAGCAAACTGAATATGAGCCAGCACTGTGTTGTGGCAGAGAAGATGGACAAGAGCAACTTGGGCTTCATGAAAAGGAGCAGAGCAAATAGAGTGAGGGAAGCCATTATCCCCATTACTTAGCATTTATTAGACCATAACTAGAATAGTGTTTTGCAACATGGAATTCAACACCTGGATTTCAATGTCTTAACCTTTTAAGACATTCTAAGTACAGAATGTATCCATTTTAACAACATACTTGACTTTATTTTTCTCTTTAGGATACAGAGATAACTATAATATGTGATGTTACATTTACAGGGTTTCATTATGCTTATGTAAGGCACCACCTCTCCTTGGCCCCAGAGTTTTGTTTGGAGTTAATCTTCCATACATTGATAGAATAATCTGAGAGCTCTAGTAGGGTAATAGGGAAAAGAATTATTATAGTGCCTGGTTGGATAACATGTTTTGAACTTGATTAAGTCAAAGGATACATAGAGCACATTCTTCATATTGTACAGCATCCCAAAAGAAATTAAAGGTGGTCACAAACTGAAAACTGGCACATAAGGCTCTCCTGCCCACAACCAAATAGTGAAAACACTAAAAGGATGTATTTTGTTCACAGAAATGGCGAACATTTCATTTACAACATATGGAATGGTGACTATTACAGCATAATTGTCTTTTGATACACTTAAAATAAGCAGTATAGAGGTCAATTCTAAGCTGTATTACTTCATGTAAAAGAAAACTCGAGATTTTTTTTGATTGCAACAACAATACACTGTATAAATAGGGCATCTGGTGTGATATAGTGAATAGGATATATTTGGTGTGATACAGTAACCTCTGCCTCAAGATGAGAGCTACTGGAAAATGAAAAATAAAAGGCAATCAAATCAAGAAGTCTGTTTTCTGGAATGCAAGAAGACTAGGCTACAAGGTCTAAAACTTTGCACAGTACTGAATTCCCACCCTACTTAAACAACCTGGGCAGAATTTAAGTCCACTTTCCATATTAAATTTAAAAGAAATACCACACGTATTATACTGCTATTTACTCTAAGTCTTATAATGGCAAGCTCCTTTCCTAGTAGTACAAGTTACCTGGTAGAAAACTTTTCCATCATTAGTATCGATATCTTTCTATAAAAATATTTTTTTTTCCATTTGCAAATAGAAATGAAAACATTCCTGCTTAGTGATAATTCTGCACTCAAATTCTTTAGCCCTCAGATTTACTCTTCTAGCTACTGATTATTTAGAAACAAAAAAAGCCGTCCCAAAAACTTCCACTTGTAAGACACACATACTGTAAACAACTCTGACCTCCTGATATAACATGCTGTGTTTAAA